CCAATATAAAATATTCTTACACTTTACATGATAAAAACATGTTCGTATTGGGGATTTGGACATTCTGAGTTGTTCTGAATAGCATTGGAAAACCAATGAATAAGGATGAACTTGTGACACCAAGGCCATCAAGAAAATGGCCTGCAGTAAGTCTTAACACAGCTATGGTAAACAAATTGTGGCATTTTTACTTATTGGGAATCCATAAACACAAAGATTTGGGGTAAATGTCGTCCTCATGCTCCAGGCAAAAGCAGACATGATGAAGAAAAATTTCCATCTTGAAAAATGACATAAAGCACGTGTATACAAATTGCTTTCATAACACATCTAGAAAAGGAAGACCAACTGCATGAGCATTTCCTAGCTAGGTAACAAAAGCAGTGTTTGATGATGCTTGGCAAAACATACATGTACCTTGTCAATTGTAACAAATCTTAAGATAAATTCTACTAATCACTGTGTGAAAATGAGCTATGTGGCATGTCCTGAACTATATTGAAAGGATTTACGATTATGACTGAATACTGTCCCAGGGGCAAGTTATGTATCAAGAAGGTGGAAATAAAAGTCAAGGTGAACTCTGCTTACTATGATACTAATTTTATGAACACTTTGGACCATACAGAAAAGTTGCCAACATGACATGTTCTCTCCAAGATAAGGCTTCCAGTCATTTTTCCCATTTAACCATCTCATACCATAAGCTATTGTTGAATGAAACAAGTATTAATCTATTCCAAAAGAAAGTATACCAGTCACGTCTCCAGATGCAGGAACTATGGATTTCTTGTGATTGGAATGTTGATACAGACACTAGGAAAGCATTAATCTCAACCACTACATGGAATGCTAGTCAGGGAGGGGTAGTGTGCTTTGAACATGACCACCTTACAAGAGATTCTTCTATGATGGAAATTACACTACAGAGCAATTGTCAAGACACACAGTCATAAGCTAGAGCATAACCAGGTGTGATTAAACAGACTGTAACAATGTGGTGAGACTCTTTGAATATAACATGCATAATCCTCTAGAATTTGTGATTTATTGTTTTCAGTTCTTTAAAATAATCTCAAAAGAACAAAGCAATAAACTTTAATGGGGTTTTGGGTTTGTGTTAATTCTAAGCATTTTAGCATATATCTTACCAACAGAAAAGAAAAAAGTGAATGGAGATCAAAGTACAAAGCAAACACATAGCATTAGATAAAATAGGGTTAACTATGCACATTCTCTCATTTTTAATAGAGAAGCACACCTCGGCATATAAATTAAGTGATAATTTGTCTTCTTTTGTATGTTTCAAAGTTGGCTGTAATATTATTGAAGTTCCTCAATAGGAAATAACTACTTCAAAATACACTGACAATAGTAAGACTACATACCCAAGATAGTCAAAGTCAAGAGCTGAGTGGGATGCTTGTACTAATGACCACATACCCCATAGTAAATGGGCTGCCTAAAAAGGGAAAAATACAAGTTTTAAAGTTGCAGAAGAAACTCTGTCATTTCTCTCAAAAATCTGCACTAAAAATAAATTTTACTCTCATTACCAGACGTTTATTGTAAATTTGCTAATTGTGTGTGTGGACGTAAAGTGTTATTCTTGTAGAAGGTAATTCATAGGTTACTTGATAATAAATTTTATAAATTTTCATATTAAAAGTCATTATTAAAACACATCAACTTAAATGTAATGTATCATATACAAGTTATAAAACTGTGCTCTTTTTTATTCTTATAAATCATTGTTTTTTGAAGTAATCTAATGTCGTGAAATTTCTCTTCTGATGATAAGATTTAATCCAATTATAATTTATGGAAGCAAAACAAATTTAAAATTACCAAAGCAAACTTGTTAACTTGCACATACAATGAATTTACATCTTCAGGTGGTACTTCTGTGATATGGCAATGACACCCTTTTAAGTAGTGCCACTCTTCTAAGTAAACTTTGATCCATTCCTTTTGAAATTCTTTACATGGATACAATTCTGGCTGGTAAGGTTCCAGTCCTGACGAAATTCATAATTTCATGTTACAGAGAGTCTAAATTTATGTAGTTCAATGTAAGAATAACTAAAATATGTATCATTAATTTATTTAAAAGTTACATTCTCACAACTACCACATAGATATGTATAAATATGCATCTATGCATAGAAATAGACTCAGTAATATTCTAATTCTGAATTACAAAATTAAGCTATTCATTTCATAATCGTGCTCAGTGTTCTAAACTTGCTCTGTCAGATATTTTAATATATTATTCACCTTCTAAATGGAAATAAAATATATTTTGCAGGAATAGAAAACATTATCTTGTGAATAAATTTCTCAGATGGAATTGTTTTGCACACATCGAAAGTATACTTATATAATAAATAGTTCATACAATATATATACAAGACTTTCATGGCACACTGCTTTTAAAATTTTGTATAAAATATAAATGAGCATTAACAAAAACAAAATGACCAAATGTAATCTTTTGTTTATTTAGTACAACATACATATTCCATTAGTAGAAAATAATGATGAATCTTACCAGCAAATTCACAAAAGTGATTTCCTATATCAAAAGCCTGGAAATTGTTATCTGAATATTCAAAATCAATGAATGTGACTTTTTCTGAAAAAAATAAGTTATTACATGTTAAAGGAGAGAACAATGCTTACTATGTGTTTTTAGTTTAATGATATATGAAATAACATATGAATAATTTTTGCAAAATTTATGATATTAGAAAGACACAAAAGTTCCAAAAAATCAGTTAAAGACCAATATACTAAATCTTATAACCCAAGCGGTTTCAAAAGGTTATATGGCTTTATATTTTTGTCTGAATGTTTTAACAATATATTTATTTTTTTAAAGTATTCAAATATTGCACTATATAACGTTTTGTAATTGAACTAAAAAAATGAGATATCTAGTTTTTGTTAGAAATAATGACTCTTTGTAGTAAAAGCCTGAAGTTCTATAGAAAGGTGATCTTGGAGAAAAAAGTTCCATTTACCTCTACAACCAAACTGTTCTCTTTAATTAAAGAAAAATATCATTCAATAAATTTTCAAATTGTTATGCTCCTGATTAAGGTTACACAATTTAGTTATGAGGACAATTTTAGATTTAAAAGAACTTGAAAAAGAATTTGGCACTTTCAGATGCACAAAACTGGTGATCCAGTCTACACAATTAACTTTAAGAATAAATTATAAATTCAAGCAGTTACTCACATCTCCTGCAGTCATTAAGGTCACTCTAGCACACAGCCAAAAGTCACAAACAAATTTACAAAGCTACCCATTGTTAAGCAGTGGAAAATGTAACTGTACATTTCTGCACATGTCTACTGATATATTATACTAACTGAAAAGTGACATGTAATGTTTAAAATATCATTGCATCCAGGAGTAAAAAATATACCCATTTTCACTCCCAACCATGAGACCATTGAACCACTCCTGCCTAAAGTTATGATG